CAGGAACCAAACAAGGCTGTTCACTATCTACACTCCTTTTCAATATAGTGCTTGAAACTTTTGCTAGAGCAATAAGACAAGAGAAGAAAAAGTACAAATTGGAAAAGAAGAGGTCAAATTATCCCTTTTTGCAGATGATATAATACTATACCTAAGAGATCCCAAAAAAATTCCACCAGAAAATTCCTGGAACTGTTTGACATTTCCAATAAAATGGCAAGGTACAAAATTAATCTACAAAAATCAGTAGCCTTTCTGTATACCAATAACAAGCAATTGGAGAAAGAGTACAGGAAACCCATTCACAATAGCCATTAATTAATTGATTAATTAATTAATAATTTATCTTGTAATAAACCTGACCAAAAACATCAAAGATCTCTACAGTGAAAATTGTAAATCTTTAAAGAAAGAGATTGAGGAAGACATCAGAAGATGGAAGGACCTCCCATGCTCATGGATTGGAAGAATTAATATTGTGAAAATGACCATCCTACCAAAATCAATACATAGATTCAGTGCAATCCCAATCAAATTCTCTATGACATACTTCACAGAATTAGAAAAAAAAATTCCTAAATTCATATGGAAGCACAAAAGACCCTAGATAACCAAAGCAATCTTGAGCACAGAGCAATCCTGGTTTGAAATCTCTATCAGATCTCAAACTGTATAAAACAGCATGGTACTGGCACAAAAATAGACACATAGATCAATGGAGTATAATTGAGTACATGCAATTTCTGCCACCTGATATTTGACAAAGGTGCCAAGAACACACAATGGAGGAAAGACAGCATCTTCAACAAATGGTGCTGGCAAAACTGGATCTCCACCTGTAGAAGAATGAAATCTGGGTCCTTATCTTTCACCTTGCACAAAAGTCAACTCCAAATGAATCAAAGACCTCAATGTGAAACTTGAAACTGTTAGGAGAAAACATTGGCAGTAACCTACAAGATATAGGTGGAGGAAAGGATTTTCTAAATCAGACACCAGTAGCTCAGAAATTAAGGTCAACAATGAACAAGTAGGACCTCATTAAACTGAAAAGCTTCTGTACAGCAAAAGAAACAATCAAGAAAGTGAAGAGAAAACCTACAGAGTAAGAAAAAATCTTCACCAGTGACACATCTGACAAAGGTTTAACATTCAGAATACATAAAGAATTCAAAAAAACAAAGAATCAAGAAAACAATGAACCAGTTAAAAGATGGGCTAAAGACCCAAACAGTTCTCAAAAGAAGAAAAAATGGCTAAGAAACATCTTAAAAAGTGTTCAACGTCATTAGTAATTAGGGAAATGCAAATTAAAACCACCTTAAATTTTGCCCCAGTCAGACTGGCTAAGATCAAGAGAACAAAAATGATACCAAATGCTGATGAGGATGTGGAGAAAAGGGAATGCTCGTTCACTGCTGGTGGGCATGCAAACTCATGAAACCACTATGGAAAGCAGTATGGAGAACTCTTAAAAATCTAAAAATGAACCTACCATTCCTTGGCATGTACCCAAAGGACTCATCCCACTGCATAGATATTTGTACAACCATGTTTGTTACTGCCAATAGCTAAAAGATAGAAGTAACCTAAGTGCCCCTCAACTGATGAGTAGTCCATGAAAATGTGGTACATTTAAACAATGGAGTTCTACTCAGCAGTAAAGGAAGATGAAATAATGAAATTTGCAGGTAAATGGATGGGTCTGGAAACTGTTATACTAAATGAAGTAACACAGACTTAGAAAAACAAAAGGCATATATTCTCCCTCATTTGTGGATCCTAGAACCAAATCCTTATAAGTGAGTATATATCCTGATGTAACTGCAGGAATCAGGAAAATGGAAGAGAACCAGGGAGATAACGGGAAAGAAGGAACCAAAGAGAGAATAGTAGTAGGAGACAGGTGTTACTAAGGGAGAAATGTGTAAAAGGGGGGTAGTTACATGGGAGGGGTAGGAGGAGGACTATACAAAGAACTATGGGAATAAAGGGGAAGAAGGAATTCAAGAGAGGTGGGATTATAGCAGACAGAAATTATCAAGGGCGAAATGGAGAAAATGGGCATGCTTTAAATGGGGAGGGCAGGGAGGGAGGATAAGACAGGGAGAGAAAGAGGAGAGATAAATAGTGCCTAGCTAGTATAAAAAAAAAAAACAGAGAAAATTATATTAGTCCAAAAACGTACTGAAAATTACACATACAGTATCCCTACATGAGTCCATGAGAATAGTTGAAGACTGTATAACAAGAAACAGTGCCAGACGGGAGAAACCTTCCTTTGAGTCCATTGACCAGGGTAGTCCAAGAAATTTCTAAAATTATACAGGCTATTGGCACAGCCCTTGATTGCCTCCCAGAACTTTATGGTAAGACCCTGTTGCTGAAGACAGGACATACTTTGGACGCAGGATTTGGAGCAACAGAGCTGGAACTGACCTGGAAGGCTCTTCCCCTGAAGGCTAGCTTTCATAGCTTTGCAGAGCACCATGCAAGCTGGTAAGGGAGAACATCAGTCAATGGTCCAACCCTAGTTTCAAGGCCTAAAAACCACATCAGTGACCAGCACAGCAAACAGCATTGGTGCAGTAGTGGCACTTTCGTCTTGGAGGTAATCAACAGCTGCCTAATTGAACTTAAAGCCCACTCAATGGGAAGAAACTCATGTGTGGCGCTGTAAACCTAGCCAGATACCTAGCTGGAAAAGTCATAGATCTTAGAGAAAACTCCAAATCTTTCTCATCCCTAGACAAATGTAATTTCTTACTATGTGCAAAATATGGATCCTTAAATTTATAGACAAGTATCCCAGTCACTACCCATCAAAGAAGCTTCTTTTTCAAGATACAGTGATAATTTCAGAGTTCTACTACTGGTCATACACAGAGATTGTCTGTGAATTGCTCAAGCCTAAGTGGCACATCTCTGATGCATCCTCTACACCTAAGGCTTAAGGAACATAGAACAAGGGATGAAGAGAACAGTAATGCATCTTTCACCCCTCATCAATGAAGCTCCCTCATGGAACAGAGGACCAGGAATACAAAAGGCCATAAATGGCCAAAACACAGAGAATAAGAATCTGCAGAGTGTGGGTCCTTGAACAGGATTCCTACGTTAAAATCCCCCCACCCGGGGCTCGGGGACCATTGCAGAAGAGGGGGCAGAAAGATTGTAAGCCAGGGAGGAGGTGCATGACCATATGGGAATAGTCCTACCAGTGCCTGGGACCGTCTAATACAAACCTGCAGCAATGGTATCAGCATGCAAAAGACCCATACAAACTTAAGCAAAAACTCAGCACAGAACTGTGGAAATGAACAGCAGGCCCCAATCTTAGTTGAAGAACTATTGGTAACTGGTTACTGCTGGGTGAGGAAGAACTGATCTTCTTAAAGAAAGGGACTCTAGATAGGCTGACTAGATCCCAGTGGGATGAACTTGTACTGAGGAAAATCTGGGGACACTAACTTAACATGATATGCCTTAACACAAATGACAGGATGTATGAATTCAAGTAGGGAGGCTATGGGAGGAGGCCAAAGGGGAAGGGGGTATAAAGATGATTTTCCAAATAAAATACACAAACATTCAATTAATTTTTTTAAAATTAGGCATAAACTAAAAGCACAAAAGCAAGCAAACCAATACATCCTTTTAAAAAAAATCTAAAGATAAAAAAGGAGGAAATGTTTGAAATTTAAGGAGAAATGAAGAAAGAACTAAAAAGAATTTGAGAGAAATTAACTAAAATGGAAATAGACAAGACTCCAACTTTGGAGTGACTGGAGAAAAGAAGAGGTTGGTTAGCACTATACCTTGACTCAATGATTTCAGAGATTATAAATTTGCTTTAGAAATAATAATTCATGGGGCTGGAGAGATGTCTCAGTGGTTAAGAGTACTGGCTTCTCTTGTAGAGGACCCAGTTTGGAATCCCAGCCCTCAATGGTGGCTAACAACATTTGTAACTAGTTCCAGGAATCTGACACCCTCTTTTGGCTCCAAAGGTATTGTACAGCACAGGTGCACTTACATACATGACATGAGTCAATACACTTATACACATAAAGTAAAAATAAAAAGTTTTAAAAAGAAATTATAATTATTTAAACCATTTATTCCTGTATTTGTTGTATTTTACAATTAAGAGGTTATGAAACAAAACAAAAACAAACTGGCAAATATTTTCCAAAAAGGAGAAACATTAAAATTTTAATGCATAACTGTGGTAGGACACTTGCCTAGTCAGGTGCCAGGTCCTGGATTCAGACCTCAACACTGAAAATTTTTTAAATTTTATTAAAATTGATAAAAATGCTAATACTCTAGGGGTTGGGGAGATGGCTCAGCTGTTAAGAGCTCTGGCTGCTCTTGCAGAAGACCTAGACTTGAATCCCAGCACTCAAGTGGTGGCTAACAACCATCTAAAACTCCATTTCCAAGGGATCTGATGCCTTCTGTCCTCTTCTGGCATTTCATGACACAAGTGCACTTACATACATGCAGGCAATACACTCATACACACAAAAGTTTTTAAGAATGCTAATACTCTAATAAGGAATTATAGAGGACATATATAAGTGATTTGTATATATTCAAAAGGCTAATAACCATTAAAATATTTAGCTTCACTGCAATGGCCCTTGAAAAGACATCTCTTAAGGAGGAAGGAAAGAGAAACTACAAATTTCATTGATAAATAGCTTTTGAGAAAGATGGAGAGAGGTGATAAACTCCAAGTTTATGTAATACACAGCCTAATAGCTGTTATGAACTCTAAATTTGTGTAAGTACAGTCTATGAGCTGTTATAAGTGAAGTGGCGGGGATAAACCTGCCAGTAAGTGCTGTTCACTCTGATGGGGTTTTCTATTATGTAATCCCAAAGCGAATGCATTATAAAATACTTTGTTTTTATTCATGTTGGATTAGCTTGGTATTTAGTAACTTGGAAAAAATTGTAATTAATTACATTGAATGCTTTCTTGTACTTCACAGCGAGAGACCTACCACCAGTTTGCCTTGATGTTAGACAAAAACAGCGTCTGTCTATGGATGCATTATCATCTGAAGTGAAGGCCCCAGTTCTTCCAGAACCTAACCTTCCTAGCCAGCCCAAAACTATGAAAGACTTTCAGTAAGTTTTCGCTCACTCTTTATATAGACTTAAAGTCAGCTGTAAATCAGTGCTTTACATACTTTAGTATCTGTGTGTATAAACTGAATTGAACTTGTAGATTTTTGTATTAGACAAAAGTCAAGCTATCTCAAGTTGAAAATGAAAATAAATGTGTAAGTAACAGATAAGGGTTAGATATGTTATAGCAAAAGAAAGCAAACAGTAAGAGGAATATGCAAATATGAAAATAGGCCCCAAAAAGTGGTGATAAAATAATGAATTCTGTTAATTAAAAAAAAAAGAAGCAAGATTTCATCTACTCTGTGATCATACTATAAAAGCTATATGACTACTAAAAATGGCTACCTAGCAGCCCTGACGTGGTATGAGAACAGAGACGGTAGAGATGCCAGCTGCAAATTGCAAACTCTCCAGAAGCCGGACGTTGACGGAGAAGAGTGGCCATGAGAAAGAGGGCCTGCCACAGTGATGGGGCATCCCTGTAATTCCGGCACCCAGGAATCAGGCAGGTGGATCACCCCAAGTTTGAGGCCAATCTAGGCTACTGTCTCAAAGAAAAAAACTGGAAGCAAAAACACTTTTTAAAAAATTAGGTAAACGGGAAAGTTGAAGCTGAATTCATATCTTAATTAAGAATCATAAATCTATAAGCTATCTTTCTACAACAGACTTATCTTGTTTTCAGTATTTAAAATTGTATATTTGACGTTTATAAAAAAGAAATTTGTTTTATCTGAATGATGTTTCTGTCTATACGTGGTTGATATATGGGGGTTTATTTTATGTTTGTTCATTTGTTTTCAGGGAAGATGTAGAAAAAGCTAAGTCATCAGGAGATTGGAAAACAGTACATGATTTTTATTTAACAGCATTTGATTCTTTCCCGGAATTAAGTACTGCTTTTAAGGTAATAATATGTAAAAGATGCTTTCATTTACTTTTAGTATTAAATTTTCAAAAAAAAGGACTTTATTTTCTATCCAGTATTGACCCTTAAACAGTGTTTATATTTTAAGATTCATGTATCAAAATATTACATGTGCTATCTTAAATATTGTATTTTACTACTAATTGATGCTTAACTCATTTCACACATCCGTTTTTATTTTTGGTAATTGTCTTAATACCACAATTTTTGTCATCAGACAACAAAACAGTTGAAATTATCAAGAAATAGTATGACTCAAATATTAAGAATAATCCTTAAATTGTTAAACACATTTAACTCTTTAATTTGCAGAAAGATGCCACTGCTTCATTTAATACCATTGAGGACTCTGGAATTAATGCTAAATTTGTAAATGCTGTATATGATGCCTTACTTAATACTGTAAGTATTATGAACACATTCAAGTAATATAATTCTATGTCTCTCAATTTCAGAACCCTTTAAAAAATTTTTTAAAGATTTATCTTTGATTTTTATGCATGTGTGTGTGCTTGTGAGTGTGTGTGTGTGTGTGCGTGTGTGTGTGTGTGTGTGTGTGTGTGTATCTATGTGAGTATATGCTAAGTGTGTGAGGGTGCCCACAGAGGCCTGAAGAGGGCATCAGATCCCCTGGAGCTGGAGTTACAGATGGTTGTAAGCTGCTAATATGGGTGCTAGGAACTGAACTCAGGTCTTCTGGAAGAGTAGCATGTGCTCTTAACTGCTAAGCCATCTCTTCAGCCTCTCTTCTCTATTCCAAATGCAGCCACATGAACATTGTAAAAATCACTTTGTAGCATAATTACATTAGAAATTTTAATATATTTTATGATAAATACAATTGACTTCTCAAAAAATTAAGTCATTCTTTTATCTAACTGACAGAATTAAACAGAAAATATGTTTGCATCCGGTATTTATTTAGAAAGACTTAATATATTGTGTTTGACTTACTCGGGGAAAGGAAGCTATTTGATTATATTGGAATTGTACTAAATGTATAGATCCTCAAATGTGCTTATTTAAATACAAATTTTCACATTCAGTAAGTCCTGAGTAGAAATCAAGAATTTTCATTAGTTTTTAAATATAATTAAATATATAAACTTATTTTCAGATATCAAACCAGCATTGCATACATGGAATAAAACAACATGGCCATGTATATGATTGTCTTTGTGCATTTTTGGTTTAATTTGCTAATATTTTGTTGAGTGCTTTACTTAAGACCGATATTATCTATAATATCTCCCTTTTGTGTGATATCTTTCTTGATTTGGCTATTAGGGTAATGCTAGTCTCACAGAATGAATTGAGAAGTTTTCTCTCTGCTTCAGATTTCTAGAAAAAGTAAAGTATTGCTATCATCTCCTCAAATTTTTGGTAGAATTCACTAGTAAAACCATCTGGGTCTGGAGTTTTACATTTTAGGTTATCATTTACTCAGGCCTTATTCAGATGATCCATTTCTTCTATAACTGTTGATGCCATGTGTCTTTGAGAGATACACCTAGATTTATAGGCATAGAATTGTATATACTAATTCCTTATTTTCCTCTTAATGTCCATATAATCATAATTAATGATCCTTCTTTCTTATTGGGTCTTAGTAATTGGTGTTTTCTTTCTTCCCTTCTTCATTAGTCTGACTAGTAGTTTATCAGTTTTATTGAACTCTTAAAATGACAAGACAGGGGCTAGAGAGATGGCTCAGAGGTTAAGAGCACTGGTTGCTCTTGGCAAGAACCTGGATTTGATTTCTAGCACCCACATGGCAGCTAACAACTGTCCATAACTCCAGTCCCTCTTCTGGCCTCTATGAGCATTGCAGTCATGGGTGCACCTATGGCAAAACACTCACACATGTAAAATAAAAATAAAATTTTAAACATTTGGTTTTGTTGATTTTCTGTAATAGTTCTGTTTTCATTTCATTGATTTCTGTTCTAGCTCCTATTATGCATTCTGCTTGCTAAAGATTTGATTTGTTTTAGTTTTCTATTATGGAAGCTTAATTGGTTTGGGGTTTTATTCAGTGTTACATGTTTCCCTCTAATGACTCCTTTTACCGTATCTCAAAAATTTTAATAAATCATATATATATATATATATTTTTTTTTTTAAAAAGCTAAAGAAGACAGGTATATGACCTAGCAGTTGTGCCTTTTTGCATTTACCCCAATGAGTTAAAAACTTACATCCAGTTTTCTCTCTGACTCTCGGTTTCTCTCTTGGCTTCCTGGCTGCCAGGAGGTAAACAGCTTTTCTCCATGCCCTTATACCATAATGGTTCTGCCTTGCCATGGTCCTAAAGGGAATGGAGACTAAAACTTCCAAAGCCATAAAGAAACTGAAATGTGCCTAAAGTCATTTAATAAATCAAAATTCAAACTCAGAACTTGTTCAGTTCTTGCAATTTTAATCTCTTTCAGAAGCATAACTAACTTTCTAATAGATTGAAGCACAGTCTCAAAGCAATGCACTTTCCTTTCGGTAGTTGGAATCATGCTACTGAAATTAAGCAGATATTTATATAGGGTGAAAGGGCTGAAAATAAATTACTGTCAAATGCCCACTCATAAATGAGATATCTGTATCACCACCTCAGAGACTTGGGAACATCACAGAAAAAGGGAGAGAAGAATATAAAGGCTTGGGCTGGAGAGATGGCTCAGCAGTTAAGAGCACTGATTGTTCTTGCGGAGAACCTAGGTCTCTCACTAACAACCACCTATAACTCCAGTTCCAGGGATCCAGCACCCCCTTTTGGCCTCCACAGGCATTTACTCAGGGAGTACATGCGCACACATATGTGTTTGAAACACTCAAACACATAAAATAAAAATAAGCGAACTAAAAATTTTAAATGCAAAAGCTGGAGGAATGAAGGGTAGGTGACGCACAGGCTTCCAGCTTCCAGGCATGACATGTCTGCTGCACTCTTAACCTTAAGCCGCTGTGACTACCTACACAAGATCTGCAAGAGAATGAACCTGTTGACATTGTCATGGAAGGGAGGGACTCATAGGGACCCACACCTCCCTGAGGATTTATACACAGTTAATGGGTGATGGGGTGTAGCCTCTGGTAAAGTGCCTGTGTTCCTATAAGCAAATCCTCACTGTGGTCCTGTAAGTGATCCTAATGAAATTCATTGGGTCACACACATAAAAAGATATGAAAGTAGAAAGGGGACTTGGGAAAATGAAGGCAATCTGCAGGAGCGTGGAGGGGAGCAAGAGAGGTTACCGGAGGAAGGGTAAATAGGATTGAAACACATGAGTATGTATGAACATGTCTTCATGAAACCCATTACTATGCATAACTAATATATGCTAATAAAAACATTGTTTCCCAAAAAAAAGAAGGATGTCTTCTTTCTCTGTAGAAGGTAACTCCTCCTCCAGGCCAAGGCATGAACTGTTGGGGAAAACCAAGAGGTAGAAAAGCCATGGACTTCAGATTCAAATTCCTGCTCCATAATTTTCTAAAACTGATGTGGCCCAAGAGAAATCTGCCTTAGCGTCATGGCAGCCCAGACCAGAGCAGAGCCCATGGCACAACCATCGGGAAGTACTCAGCCATGCAGGGAGAGAAGGAACCTCTTCACATATTCTGGGCTTTGGCTGCCCCTGTCCCACTGAAGCACCAGTGGCCAGATAGCCTAAATCCATTCGATATGACATCATCAGATCAAAACTGTGTGAAAAGATGCCCTAGAAAAACTACTAACTAAGGCATAAGATTCAGCAGTGGCAGAAGAGAGTGGAATTGGAGAAGTGGATGTGGAGTCTTGCTTCTGTGAACATTGCTTCAAATTCGCTTTCAAAGATTCTGAAAACGCTGAATACTCTTGTCTGATTCATCTAGGTTCCTTTCTAGGTTCAGCAAAGCCAGTGAAATTCTAGGCTTTAAAATAAAATCTTATAAAAGTACAATTAAGTTTTAATTGTTATGAAACAAATCTAACTTTCCAGGAGGGGGAACGAGCCCTTACATGCCACTCAGCATCTACTATGACAAGATCCATGCTCATAAAGACCAAGCATAAAGGAAAATTCTCAAGATTCACTCTTGATTCCAGTACTCTTGCCACCTTCTACTTTTTCACCGTGCAATGTTTTACTTTGAAATTATACTTCAACAGAACCATTGTGATGTACTTTCATGTGCAAGTTAACTGTAACCTGTTCTCTAAGGGAAGGCTAACATTTAAATACCCTATTCTGAGAATCTGCCCTGCAGAAGTGGTTAACCAATAGATGAAATCACAATCAACATCTTCAAGACTTAACCATTTTAAATATAATTAAATAAACCTACATAAGGGAGTGAGGGATGTCAAAAGTGGTTCCTGTTGAGTGAATGAGTATTTGGGTTAATGGATAGTGTCAAAGAAACCACAAATCATCACCTAAATGAAAGAGAACCATCTGCCAAGCTCCCCTTTCCTGATACAGATGGTTCAAGCTTGCAGTCTAGGCCTCTGTATTGATTCTGCATTCCTCCATGTCACAGATCACGCTGTGCCTGAGCCAGCAAATCTACCATGAGAGTATATTTGCCCTAAATTCAGTTAAGTCTTTTATGGAAATGCTGAGCAGAGAAGGTAAAGACTGGGGCTCCCTGGCCCTACTACAGACCAAGTTTAAGGTTACTTTGAGAATTCCTGTGATTAAATGTCCTAGTATTGTCAAAGGGGAAAAAGTATGTTCACCTTAAAACCTGAACACAGATTCATGGAGCAGTTTTATAATTGCTCAAAATTAGGAGCAACTTACATGTACAGAAGGTAAATGGGAAAACTGTTACCCATACTGTGGGGTGCTATTCAGCAGTACACAGAAATGGGCTACCGAGCCACAAAATGACATGGGAAGCTGAGCATTGTGGCACATGCCTTTAATCCCAGTACTTGAGAGGCAGAGGCAGGCAGATCTCTGTAAGTCCCAGGCCAGCTAGGGCTATATAATGAGACCTTGTCTAAAAAAACAGATGTGTAAGACCCTAAATATATATTGCTAAGTAAAAGAAACTAGTCTTACTATGTAATTGATTTCAGCAATGTGGCATTTTGGGAAAGACAGTTAAAAAAAACCCAGGAGCTTGGGAGCGAAAAGAAGGAGGGTGAAGCATGGGCTTTTTAAGTAGAGAAACAATTGTTTGTGGTCCATGATGGTGATGCACAGCATTATGCATTGTCAGAAGTCATAGAACTTTACAACAAAAAGTAAATCCTAACGTAAACTATGTACCTTAGTTAAAAATAATGTATTAAATATTGACTCATTAATTATAACAAATGTACCACACTAATGCATGATATTAATAAGAAAAGCCATGTAACGAAAAGGGAGGTTGTATATAGAAACTGTATTTTGCACAACTTTTCTATAAGTCTAAGACTTCTATAAATACTAAATTGTGTTACAAATAAAACAGTGCATACATGTCACCAGATCTAGTTCAGCTCAGTGACCAAATCTTAAACAATTTAGCTGTTAAAATTTGCAGGTAAATGGATGGATGTAGAAACTGTTAAACTAAGTGAAGTATCACAGACTCTGAAAAACAAACAACATATGTCCTCCCTGATATATGGCTCCTAGCACCAAATCCTTTTACATTCCAGATCCTTTTAATAAGATGATGCTATACAGCAGTCCCTTCTGCATGAAATAACTACCATCATCATGACTTTGGCTGAGCCTGATTGCTAAACATAGTCACAATTGGGCTTGTTGACAGTTGTGCTCATTCATTAAAGGAGAGCCAAAGCAGGGTTACTGGACCCTCACCTGGGTATCCAGCCACGTTTCCCAGCCAACTAGTCCAGCCTTGGAAGACAAAAGAAAAATGAGGAAGAACCCAATAGAGGGATGCTTTTGGAAGCCCTTGTCTAGAAACTCCAGTGGACTCTCATATGAACATTTGAAAATTGCCCTGTTCTGACTTTTTTCTAATTCCCTGTCTAGAATTTGTAATGCTAATTATTCTTGCCTTTACTCCTCCTTCACATCTCCCATTCATGATTCAAGGACTTTCTTCTCCCCTTAGAGACAAGAGTTATGCAATTTTGGAGTCTTATAGATAGATCCACTGAGGGGGTACTCCAGTTGCTCACCCTGCATCCCTGTTCAACATGGAAGAAGCCACAGCGGTCTGCGTCCTGATTCCCTATCCACAATTTGGGTAACCTCTTCAGAGGATGGCGTGATAAGAGCAGGAAGTAGGAATTGGCTAGGCAGTTAGGGTAAAAAGACTCCAAAGAAATGTAGCCAGTTTCTGGGCTAAAAGTCAAAATGTCCTTGGGCCTGTTAACAACATACTCTGTTCCAAAGGCCAAAAATGTCAAAAGCTCTTGGGAGCTTGTATCTAATCCTTAAAAGATTTTAGGGTTACCTCTTCAGA